CTGAGGTGTAAGTGATTACTCTGAGGTTACACAGTGTTCTCTCTACCACAGTAAACAGTGGGAGAGAGAGGGAGGGAGGGAGGGAGGAGAGATTTGGATTTTTAACAGACTTTTATTGTGTCTGTCAAAAACTGTTCTGCCATTGCATGAGGGTGGTAAAGGGGAGGAGAGGATTAGGAGTCGAAAGAGAGAAGTAAAATGAGAGGGAGGAACAGAGAGAGAAGCAGAGAGATTCAAAGAGGGAGAGAGAAAGAAATACAGAGAAGTAGAGAGAGATAGAAGGAGGGAGAGAAAGAAGGAAAGGGCCGTAGACACACCTGAGGAGACAGTAAATGACATCAGATATGCTCGGTCCACCTGCCAAGACTTGTACATATCCAAAATGAGTACAGTTGGTTTGCACGTTGACAGGAATGATCATTCTGTACGTGCTATTAGTGAAATCATTATTTATACTTGTCTGATCAAATCTCTTACTGTAAATAAAGCTATACAATGTCATGACTCAATCAAATGGAATTGAAATTTTAACTATTTATAAGGCTGAAAACTGACTACTGGACTGACCGCTAAACCTTAAAGAGGGGGTATTTTACTTTAACTGCTATCAAACTTAAGTAGATCATCATGTTACCATGTTTTTTGTTTTGAAAATGCTCTATTTGGCAAAAATAATGTAATAGCATGTATAATTTTTTAGTTTGACTTTAGTTTTTGACACTCCCTTTGCTCTCTGTAAAGGATGACCAGACATTCCTATTTACACGGAACAGCCCCAGTTTTGAGCCCTGTGTCTTTTGTCTCAGTAGATTTATCCGAAACAAGATTTGTCCTAGTTTTATACAAGAAATGTCTCAGGTGTCCTTCTTTTTCAACAGTCTGATCCCTGCCAACAGTAAAGAGTTATAAATAGTTATTTGTTTAGGTAAAATACAGAAAAGCATCTTAAAAATGACAAAAACGCAAAGAAAATGTGACTATACTGACTCACATTAGTGCTGAGTGCGTAACAATTTTCCTTAATTACACACTAGTTTCACAACTTTATTATTACCAAACCAAGGATGTCCCAGTTTTTTTAATTTTGAAAATCTGGTCATGCTGTGTCACGCGCTAACACAATCAGCATGAATCCCGTCAGTGCTCATATGAATTGACTTTTGGCCCTTATTAACAAGAAGCTCCAGTAACATCTGTTCTGTAGCCGAACTATATGTTGTCATCCATTAAACAAACCAGGGATTAGACCAGATTATGTGAGATATCTGTTCACATTTGGGATGAATAAAAAAAAGGGTTAAGAACTGAGTTACAGAAGCCATTGATACTAAATGGATAAAATGGATTTAAACAACACGTTTTCAGGACCCTGTGATCAATGCAAGCATTTATAGTCCTGTTTATGAGTTTGATTTTCAACAAAAACATTGTGATAAACTGAAAACTGTTGGCTAATGCTGTCTCGCCACCTAGTGCCTCTGCTCAATTTAATTTCTCTACAGCGACTAGGTCAGGAATTGGAATACACTTGACGGTTTGCAAGAACCCTGGAAGTTGTAGACCACGCACCAGCCAATCAGCGAAAAGCTGTGAAGCCATGACATCAAACTCAAGCGCCTTTTTGGGTCCGTTTTGTGGTGCAGCACAACAGTAAACAAAGCGGTCAAGATGGATGTAGAAGAAGCCATACATTCTGTGTTGGCAACGATTCCCATGATCGAGGATTTAAAGCCAGAACAAAGAAGGTTTGGTGAATTTTATCAAGAAGAAAACCTTATTGTCCTTTTTTCTACGGAATTTGGGAAAGCTTAATATACCAGTTAGCCCCGTTAGCGGTGCATTACATACATCACGACCAAATAGCAGCGATTGGTTAAATAAAAAAAGTACCCGCCTGCCAGTTTCCATGAAGTGAAACCGTCCGATGAATCAGGCTAAATGCTGTTTAGCTTGTGACCGCAATGTTATTTGAAAGAGACTTATTTAACAGCTCACCTTTTGTAGTTTGTTCTGTTTAACTAAATCAATTCTTTATTCTTTATTCTTAAGACAGAGCAGTGCCAGCAGTTATCTTGGTGACTTCAGCTGCAGCATTCAAAAATTGTGATCTTAACCACACAGTAATATAAATGATACCAAAATCTCATTCTGTTCTCTTCTTGTTGATCCTGTGTCTCCTCTCATCTTGTGGGAACTGTATCTCGTCCCACCCCTTCTACAAACACATATTGCAGATAAATGTTATGTATTATGGCATGTTACAAATATGAATGACCTAGCGTAGCCTTTTGGTGGAGCTCAGAGTGCTTCTTGGTTTGTTTACATTCACATTCACAAAGTTTACTTCCTTCTCCAAAGTGATCTTTAATGGAGGCATCTCGTAAAATTCATCCCTGAGGTGAGTATTATCTATAAACAGTTAGCAGTTTCTTCCATGGTGAGATCATGCACCATCACAGTGCCCCCGCCGGATTTGTTTTTGGAAATACTTTGAAATATGTCAACAGTAACAAATAGATTCAACATGAGCGTGTGTCACCGCCACTGCTGCACAGAGGGGGCTGATGGGTAATAGATGACATTACAGTGTGGGGATATTACTGTCCCTGGATTAGCACGACAAGGAGACCGATGGTTTATTTAGAGTTACCTGATCCGTGTCAGTAATGCCAGCCATGCTAATTCTCTCACTATTGTACACTAGTAATTAGTCTGGACCTGGTAAATTTGTATTGGATTTCAGGAGGGTAAAAATAGATGTAAATTCAACCTCTGAAAGAATTTAGAGGAGTATTGACCAGGTAAAAACAGTGGTAAGCGTCATGATTTTATATAAACAGTCACAATGGCTAGAAATCTCTAAAGGGACACTAAACGCCAAAACCACTTTATTGTTTTACTGATTAACTGTGTAAAAGTCTTATATTATGGGTAGGTCCTTTATTATGCAAGCCATGTCATAATTCTCTTACCTCATCAAAAACATACCCAGAGTTGTGTTTTGTTTCGTTCACACATGTTTGAGTAATCCTTTATTATTAGTCTGTCTGCATTTCCAAAGCTCAAAAAGCTTTGATGTCATGAAGTGGTAATTTTCAAGTTAATAGCTGCCTTTCACCTTTTATTCAGTAGAGATTGGCAATTCCAGGGTTGAAAGTATCCAAATGATTCTAGTGAAGGTGTATGGAGTATGAAAACACTATATTACCATGTGGTATTACCATGTGAGCATTGAGAGAAGAACACAGCCTAAATATGCAGGGTTTGTGTGTTAATCGTGTGAATGAAACAAGGTATGCTTTTCAGTAGCGTAATATGAGCCCTTTAATCTCCCTCAGAGCTGTACTTTTTTGTAGCTGTTTTTGTTTTGCCTTAAATGTTCAAGAGTATGGCATTAAACATCTCTACAGAGGCACGCAGGTTACACCGCAAGTTACAGGACATATGTTTTTTAATCAATGCAACATAGATAAGATTAATGCCATACTCTGGACCCTTCTAAACACAGCAATAACATCTCCATGGAGAAAAGCAGACAGTAGAAAATCCATCAGAAAAGTTACATAGTGTTAGTCTGATCCATCAGCCGGATTCACTTCGTAGAAACCGTCTGACCTCGCAGTGTTAAGGGCCGTTCACACCAAGGCGTCAAAGCGTCCACTTTCAATGTAAAGTCTATGTGGACGCGCGACTAGAGCGTAATTCGTTTTTGCGGCGCGTTTTCGGCGTCAGCGCGGCGCGAATCTGGCGTCGACGCGGCGCGTCTTGAGCGTTTTGGTGTCAGCGTTCTAGACGCGCTTCCAAGGCGTCAGCGTCAAGAAGTTGAAAATGCTGAACTTTTCGCGTCAGACGCGCTGCGTCAACCAATCAGGGACGAGTATCCAGTGACGCAGAGACGTTATTATCAGGAAGCAAGACCCGAGAACCAGAACAAGAACCACAAACACGAGCGGAGAATAAATATATACGCCACAATCACCGAGCCGATCGCGAGGACTACACCAGGACCGGACCAGGACTAAACCAGGACTAGACCGGGACTAAACAAGGACTAGACTGGGAGTAGACCGAGACTAGACCGAGACTAGACCGGGACCAAACCAGGACTAGACCGGGACTGATCCAGTGTCATTAGCGGAGTATAAATATATATACGCCCCAGTCGTCGACCCGATCTCCTCCGCTGATGTTTTATGTCATAAAAACACTCTATCAGTCTGGTCTGACATTGTTTCGGGAAAAGACCGGGACCGGGCTCTTGTTTCCAGGGTAACGGACGCGCGTCAAGTATTTTTGTCCCGTTCGTCCACGGCATCAAAGATGTGCGTCGGGGGCGTCTAAACTCAAATGCAAAGGCGTCCAAATAGAGGCGTCAAGGCGTTTTTTGACGCTTTGGTGTGAACGGCCCTTTAGGATTCATTCACTTGACAATATGCGGGTACTATTTTCATTTAACCAATCGCTGCTATTTGGTCATGACGTATATGTAATACGCCACTATCGGTGCTAACTGGTATATTAAGCTTTTCCCAAATCCTGTAGGAAGAAGGGCAATAATGTCTTTCCCCTTGATAAAATTCACCAAACATTCTCTTTGCTCTGGCTTTAAATCCTCAATCTCGGGAATCATTGCCAACACAGAATGTATGGCTCTTCACTGATTGGCTGGTGCCTGGATTCACTCCGGGGTTTTTGCGAACCGTCTAGTGTATTCCATTTCCTGACCTAGTTGCTGGAGAGAAATGAAACTGAGCGGAGGCACTAGGTGATGCCTGGCTAACATAGTGTACCTTCATCCATGTTTAGTGATGAGTGACAACGACATATATTAACTGGTTTAAAATCTATAAAACAAATTTTAAAAAAAGAAAAAAAATATTGTTAAAAAGAGAGAAAAAAAATATGAATAAATCCTCAAAATATTACCACATCATTTTAGATCCAGTAGCTTCAATGTTTTGATCGTACAAGTGACAAAGGCTGAAATAAGAGGATCCATGTTTAGTACCTCTGAAATGAGCTTTATTCAGCAGAAGGTTACATAAACACTTTGGCACAGATGCTTAATGAGAATAAGCTGTCCTGTTTCTGCTTGTGTGCTAATCTAAATAAATATGCAAAACATAATTTAGTTACCAAATAAATAATATCTTTACTACAATATATAAATGCGCCGCATCCACACCCCATGCTGCGCCTTCTTTACAAAATAATCATAAAAACACAAACACGGTACTTCAGGCAATCTGTTGTGACGGCTTCAAGGGCGAAAGGAAGAGTAGGAAAAAGTTGCTTCATAAGTTCATAAGGGACTTCTACTCTAAAGTGTAGCAGGCAAAACAACGTGGAGGCAAAGGACTGGCCAATGGAAGGCTATGGGCGCTGGAAGTTTGGAATTTTGATGATGATGATGATATTTATCTCCGTAGTACAGAGATATTAACCATAAACTAGGACTGAATATTTGTATTTTATATTATATTTTATTTATATTTTTTAAATCTGACCTAATTTCCAGTTCAGGTTTAAACTAGAGCTCAGAAATGTCTCGTAACATACTATTAAATTCCCAGTTTCGCCAATTGTAAACCAATGGAAATTTTAATGGTGCACTCTGTAATTTTTCGGTAGGGCAGTCCGTCACTTTGTTGTTACTACGGAAACATCATTGCTCTGTTTGGAATGTTCCACAGTATGACATTAAACAGCTCTACCTTACATTTATTCAATTGCAGGTGGTTTTATAACTTAAAAATCCCTAGAAAACTATTCATTCTAACGCAGATCTGACCTGTAACTTGGCCTGTTTTGGTCTCCATGATGATAAAAAGGTTTAATGCCATACTGTGAAACATTCCAGACAAAGCATGCAGACAAGTATTTGACAGACCCTCCATCAGAAAAGTTACACAATGCACTTTTAAGATGATAACTTGAGTTAACATTCCCACAAAAGTATTATGAAACTATAGCCTGATAATCTGGCAGTTCAGATCTTTTTTTAATATTCTTGAATCTCAATTTACAATCTTAGATCCCAATCAAAATACATGCTTTAGAAAGTTGAAATGTAACACGAACTCCTATTCTATGAGCCCAGTTTTAGAGTTTGTTTTCATGTCAGTATCTCTCAATAAATCTGTCTCTCTTATTCAAACTCGGTTTTACCCAACACTGCCGAATGTAAACTTTGCAAATGGCCTCCAGACTGACTTCACAGGAGCTGTACATGATTGCATCGGGAATTAACATGTGTTTTGGCAAATCGTCAGGGGGCTGATAATAGAATTTAGGACAAAAATAAAAACCATGGAGAACAGATTGGATGAAGTGATAATGAGTTTTTAAGCAGGCGTCGTCAGTCACGTGTACTCCTAAAAATGAAATATTGACTTTAAATTTTTGCATGATGTCATCTTTTCCCATCCAAATAGTGTATGTTAATTCCATGTATACATTATAAGCAGATTAGCATAAAAATCATTTGGATCAGCAATTCAGAATTGAATAGGAAAAGATGCATTTAAAAGATGTTCTCGCTTTAGCTGGAATGTTCTACAGTGTGGCTTTATACTTATCTATCTCCATGGAGAGCTACAGGTCAGCTCAGTGGAGAAGAGAGCACACTTTGTTTCTCAATGTATGTTTTGTAGTGATAAAAACACATGCATCTGAATATGTGCAAAATACTGTATGTGTAATGCCATATTCTGAAACTTTCCAGACAAAGCATTAACATCAAGAAGTGTTAGTGCACCTTTAACATCAATATTTCATTTTTTGGGTGTATAAAAATACAGAGTAAGATCCAAACCTCCAGAAGAGAAAAGAGGGATTTGATTGCATTATTAGTAACACTTTACCTGAGTGATAACACTGTAAGAGCCAAGCAGGACACCACGAACACACTGAACACATCTGCATATGGACAGACTATTGGAGCTGTCAAAGGGGCTGTATGTAGTATTTATGTCATCATACTTTTACTGCAATAAGGGACATACACAGCTGCAGGCCTTCACAGCTGTATCGAGGGCGGGGATATCCTGGACTACTGCCAATCAGTGTGAGGATTTTAAAAAATGACGAAAATGAGTTCTGACTTTATTTTGGATGTATTTTGTATGAATGAAGGGCCTGAATTCTCAACAGATTTGTTATAAGTGGGTGTGTTTATAACTTGTTGAAATAATTTATATCAAACCGCAGAAATTTGTTCTCACATAATTCGTCCCAAACTGCATACAGCCCCTTTGAACTGATAAAATCAAAATCTGCTTTATCATCGGAATGAAAGAGGAGGATGACTCTGACTTGGCATAAGTATTGGACTGCAGTATTGCTAACATTGTGTTGCTACATGATTGTTTTAGCTCTTTGCTCAGTGTTACAACAGATATCAGATCAGAGCTTGTTCGGGGTGTGTGCAGTGTGTCTTCTTTATATAAATTCATGTAAAACATTGAATCCACTGTCCACTGAAGGTCCCCACGCTCAGAGCCAGAGCGTGGCCATGGGACAGCATTAGTATTTCCATTGAGCTTATTCTCCACAGTAACACCAGATCCATGATGAGAGGCTGAGCAGCATGAGAAGAGATGAGTCAGTCTTTTGGGTCATACACATCCACAGTTTTTAGCTGATACGTTCTGTATTGCGATATTTGTAGTTATCGTCCAAAAAGGAAAAGTCTTCTTCAAAGGCGGTGGGCCGGCAGCAGGGCCCGTTGCTCACCTTGTCTTTACGACCCTTCTTCTTGAAGCCAGTCCTCATCATGTGCTCCATGGTGATGTCGTAGTTGCTACGGTGATTTATGCACTTGCCGCTGCAGTAGCGCAGCAGCATGGTCTCATTGCTCTCGTAGCCCAGGCCCAGTTCGCTCACTGTTAGCTTTAGCTCTCTGACCGAGCAGGATTTGGGCCTCCGTGCCCTCTTAGTCCTCCTGCTCTGGTCCAGGCTCCTCCTCCTCTTCCTGTCCAACAGCGCCCCCACCACGTGCTGCAGCTCGCTCTCCGTGAAGCTCTGGAACATGCGTGTGACTGACACAAGAAGAAAACAACAGGTCAGTGAGGAGTGATAGCACCAAATACCATGATTTCAACAACAATCACTGATGGATGCAGTGCCTCTGTATCATCTGTCTAAACACACATCTGGATTCCAATGAGCTTGTTTGTTGACACATGTCAATCTCCACTACTTTTCCACAGAACAGAAGACGCCTCATCACATTGATTACTGTATCAATGTTGTGCAATACTACTGAGTCATTCTCTGCAAAATACAACTGTATTTTCCTTTGCTTCTGCTTGTTTCAATTATATAAACAGATGACTTTACAGCTGATCATCCATAAGCAAAATTGTCTGTAACCCAGAGTACAAAGTGAACACATTTCACTTCATTTGTCCTAATTGGGTTTGGACACAGTAAAGTCAGCAGTAATTGGATTCTTAGAGCCTAATAACATTTGTGCCCATCAGAGCCGGACAGGCCACAGGCCACTGTTGGTATTTAACAACAGCACTGCACACAATCTAACCTCTGAAGTTAAGCATAACAATTGATGGCACATAGAAACCAATCCCTATTATTCATAGCTTCTTGCTGACCCAATTAAAATACATCATGGCACCTTTCTTTGAACAGAAATCTACTGGTGGTTTTCACATTCTATAATGTGATGATCTCCCAGACGGGGAGCAATATTCAGTTTTTTCTATTCACAACATTGTGCATGGTTATGAAATATCCAAAAGGTTGAACGTGATCATTTCTAAATCTGCATTTTAACCCTATTAATTTCAGCAGCCCCCATTTGTATAAAAATTACTGGCGTATAGAATGTTGTGATGTCCACTGAAACCCAACTCTGTAATATCATTAATTATGTAGTTGTAGTGCAAAATAATTAGATTGATCAGTAACATTTAACACTGTCTAATAATTTATAAATATACTTTGTGTTAGCGCCTTCTCCTCTTTCCATGCCCTTTCATTGAAGTTGACAAATGAGGTGGTAATTGAAACCTGGAACACACTTCACGTCTCACCTTATCTTAAAACAGACACAAGGAAAAAAAATAGTTTATCTTACACTCAGAGAGAAGTGTGTCCATGTCATCGGCGGATCGACTTCTCCTCCGTAGACCACCCATTGCTGTCGAATCCAGTTTGGATTTAGAACTGGATACGTTTGAAAGAGTCCTTGAAGTAGATTTGGAGTGACTCGCAGAAGGAGTTTGAGGGTATTTGGTGTTGGGTCGGGTCTGTCCCAGAGCAGCCATGTTTCTAAGGAGCACAACGGATAAGGCAGCGCCACAGAGCATGAAGGCAAGAGTAGCACCTTTCCATAACTTCATCTTAGAGCGTGGAGGAGCATTGAAACTCTGCAAACAAACAAAAACACACACATTAGAGGAAGTAATGATCATAATAGTCATTCACAACATTCATATGTACTAGTGTTTACACAATACTAAAATTTCAAACTCAATTTCGATACTAGGGAATAGACTCAATACTGCAATTATAATTAAAATCACTAATTAAATGTGAGTACTTTCTTTTGTATTACTATCTGGTTTTATGTAATCTAGTCTGTATAATCCCTCAGTCCACATAGGTTCCATAGTGGTCCATGAGTGTGCCACATATGCTAGTCTATGTGGTCTTTTGCTTGTTCTGCTACAGCTCAAGATAATTCTAAAACTACTCAGGAAAGGTTCATTTCTGTCCTGTCCATGTGACATTTTAGGGCCTGTTTACATGAGAACACTTGCAGGTAAAAACGTCAAAATATTTTATCGGAAGTGCCTTTCGTTTAGACGGTGACGGCGTTTTTGGAGCTTAAAAACGCTAAAATCTGAAATCACCCTCCAGAGTGGCAAAGTTGAATACGCTCCACCGTAGCGTTTCAGTCTACACTGCCCAAGACGCAAAACTCTGGTCAGATCTGCTCACATCGTGTACATGTTTATGTCACATACATCACCACGTAGTCGAATGGCATGCATACCCAATCGAATTCCACATTTTGCATCACCCTATCCACGATTTCTTCTCGAAAATGTTTATCTAAACACAGAATAAAAAGTGAAGACGGGACGCCACTTTTGCGTCTTCTCTTCACACTGTCATTATATAAACATAGCCTTAGTATCAATACCTGCTCAAAGGAGTATCTAGTTTCGAAACAAAGTATTAGTATTAGTATTAGTATTAGTATTAGTATTAGTATTTAGTATTGATTAGTATCTGATTTCCAACACTTTTGACAACCCCATGTACAAGTACAGAAAATAATTATAGAGATATATTGCAATTGAATCAAAATCCTAATTTGAGTTGTTCCAATTATCAAATCTTAAAGGCTGCAAATATTTAGACACAAAAAAGAGTGAAAAGAAATCAATTATTTTTATTGAGAAATCTTGCAGCCTGTTGTTTAGACCTCCACAAACATGTTCTGACATTAATGGGATTCTTGTTTTATCGGTTCATATTTTAGTCTTCTCTCAAAAGTTATTGCTCCTGGAGTTGTTACAATGTGTTGTCACAACTAAGTACATACTATATAAATTGTAGTACTCTTTTACATACTTTTTCAAAAAAATTTGGAGCCCTAACAGGAGATTAGATTATATTTTGTTTTTATTTTAATTTTTTAAGTAAATTGGTTAACTTAACTACAACTTAACATAAATATGTGGACCTTATTATGAACATCAGATCACTATTGGATAGAAATATTGACATCAGACCGTCTGATGTACTGTATTTTTATTTAGATAAAGGTAGCTGTTAACTTGAAAACTACCACTACATGACATCACAAGGTGGAACGGAGTATTTTGAGCTTTGGAGATGTACATTTTTAGTACAGTAATAATAAAGGATTACTCAAACATGTGCGAATGAAACAAAACATGAAACTTCAGGTATGTGTTTGACGAAGTAACAACATTCTAACATGGATCAAAGCTCAACTTTGCGATTACGCCTGTCAATGACCTTTAAATCATTACACAGTCTGAGGGCACAGTAAATTATTGTGAAGTAGGGGGAGTCAAATTTGATAAAAATGTCATCCATATCAATCCATTTTAAGGTTTTTCAAGGTACCTTAATTTAGACTAATGCCACAAGATAAAAAGATGTGAAATATTGCCAAAAATACCAGATAAATCACTCACAAAGAGTCCAGATAGAGTACAAAGATAAGGCTGATATCTTATGATTTTCAGAGGTAGGAGGTAAAATGGTGGAACATGTTTAAACAATTTGCGAGCAGGACGTGATTGCAAATTAGTAGATTATGGCTGAAGGTCAGATAAGGTTTAGAAGACAGGATGTGAGGTCAAGAAAACATCCAACATAATGCGCAAAATCTCAGAATGAAAACATGTTAAATCAGTTGAGTGAGCTGTGCCTGCTCTGTCACATCATAAAACACACAGGCCATGTAATAGTTATCTCTCCTGTGTGACCTTGGTCTCTCACCTCGGGCCTGCCTTTATATCACACACGTTTACATTGGGTGATTGTGTCTGTCAGCTCATTTTCACTTTAAGTGGGTTCCTGAGGTGCGCTCGACATCCCTGGCTGACACCTGAGAATGCACTGTGTGTTTAAGGCCAGCTCTGCTCCAGCGCCAGAGGAAAACAAGTGAAACGGAGCCAGAGCCACGACCTCCTGCCCCCGACCGCCTCTGCTATACGGATCACACAGGCATTGTGCAAGAGACAGCAGAGCCCAGGTGAGAATATCAAGACATCTGTCATTGCATTTAAGAGGAGGAGAAATGTTTGTTTACATGTCTAACTGCACACTGCTGCCGTTAAAATATTTCAACATTTGGTGAGTTACTTAACAATAATAATAACACATTGGATTTATATAGGGCATTTCAAAACACTCAGAGCTCTTACCACACTCAGTGGTGGTTAACTATTGTAGCCAGAGCTGCCCTCAGGCAGGCTGATGGAAGCAGGCCTGCCCAGTCATTGGCACCTCCAACCACCACCAGTACTTACACACACACCATGTTCATACTAGACATTGTTGGTGAAGTCACAACAACAGTTTTAACGGTTTTCACTAGAGTCACTGCTGCTGCACAGTAGCACCTCGAGTTCCGAGCGATCTCTCATCCATGTAGTAACAACGCCCACCTCTGCTTAGCTTCTGATATCAGATGAGATAAGCCCTGACAAGGTGGTATGGCCACCCTGCTACAGCTGCCCTGGGACAGTGTGTATAATCACACTGACATTCTACATGTTATATCAATCAATCAATCAGATTTTATTTATAAAATGTTTTTCATACAAAAATATAACACAAACTGCTTTAAAGTGATTAAAAACAGCACCGCATTTTCTTCAACCCCCCTACCCAGCCTCTAAAGCTACCCGACCCCACACAAACATGCAGATACACTCACGCACATAGTAATATGCTAAAATACATAAAACTACACCTAGTAAAATATGAGGGTGAATACAGGCGAACCAGATGAGAATGCACCATCAGAGGAGCCGTCCGCCGCCACCACAAACCGCCACCAGGGCCCAGGGGAGAGAAGAGGCCTAAGCACCATCCCTCCACCAGAAGCCCACAGAAGCCTCAGAGTATACATAATATACACTGAGATTAGTGCTGATGCAGTGGGATGTAAATTCTTACATTGCTTGCTGCTATATTCTTCTATATTCTGGTTGATTAACATCTGGTGCCTTTTGTCAGACAGTAGTGAATTTAAACAAGCAATTTTAAAATAACCTGGTGCCATAATACATGCGGTTTAGTATACCTTTCTCTGCATTATTTGGAGTTCTTCCACTAAAGAAAAAAAATATATACACAATAAGATAAATCTTCTTTTCGCCTGCCGAGCACATTTTTCAACATGTCACTCTCCCATAAACCAAACTATGGCCACCACAAACCTCAGCCTGATGCATGTGGATCTTATATTTTCTGCTTTCTTTGTTGTCACGCATGAAATATTTGAGAAGTTTAACAAGAGCGTGGCTTTGTATTTGCGGTATCGTGTCACCGGAGTCAAGCCTTCCCCCAGAGCAGGAAACGGAATACTGCAGCGGCTAACGGCAAATCCAGACCGGGGCAGACGAGCTGTGCATATGGAGTCCTGTTTACAGTCAGGACATACAGGCACAATGCAACACACTTTCCAGGAAGTGGTCTGCAACATTAAACACTAACGAGATATAAACTCAATCTGGGCTCACGTCCCAGTACATCCACAGAGTATTCCTCAAGTAGTACTTAAGTTCTTAGAAGCTTTGGATTCACCATTTTTGCAAATACACAAATACCTTTTTATTACCTTTTGTAGGACAGGATTATTACAACTTAGATTTGCTTTTATATATTGCTGGATTTAGTTATACTGCTATTGTTACTAACACTACAACATATGTCTGAGCAATTAATAGAAAATTAAAATTGAGATGATGCAATTTCTAATCAATGATCAACTTGTGTCTTTGACTTTTTATAATTGAGAGATCTGCAACCAATTCTCATTGAGTAAAAGCATATGGTTTGGAACTCAGATTTTGGAAGAATACATTTCACATTTAAAAAGACCAAATAACATTAAATAAAACATATAACTCGATCAATATATTGTCTTTCTTGTACAGTTACGCAATTGCAACTTTTATTTTCACTTCTACAATCTTTGCCACTACTACTGCTACTCTTAGTACTATGACCACTAAACTACTCATTTTACTACAGCAGAATCAAACTCATTAAAAAAAAGCTCACTGAACAAATCACCTGCTTGTCTCCAGGTTGTAGTTTCACTGGAATGTTCCACAGTATTAGCCAGACTGGTGACACCTAGTGCCTCCGCTCAATTTCATTTCTCTCCAGCGACTAGATAAGGAAATCAAACGGCCAATCAGAAAAGAGCTGAACCAACCCGAGTATGGACAGCAGACTGCATATAGGCTATCCTCCTTTGGACTTCCTTTGTCAAATGCAAACTTCACATTGTTTATTGCACCATTAATTTGCAAGTTCACCTCACAGAAATGAGAATGATCATTGACAGACATGTTCACTCTGCTTTATTTGCTGTTGTGCCAGCAATTACTGCTTTTACACCACTCAGAATTTCGGCGTGTTACATACGTCATGACCAAATAGCAGCGATTGGTTAAAAAAAAAAAGTACCCGCCTACCGTCCAGCGTACAAATCCTAATGCTGCGAGGTCAGTTTCACTTCAATGGAAATCGGCTGATGAATCAGGCAACACAGTGTACATTAAACTTATTTATCTTTACTGAGCCAAACGAATGACAATAACATGCTAATTTACAGAGTAGG